TTGCTTCAATTCTCTCCATTATCTTTGAAGAGATTGTCCAGTAATGGCTACAATATAGGAGTAGCCACATTACATAACGCATCAGACATCATTTCTTGTTTCCAAAAAGATCTTTCTATTTCTTATTACTTTGCTTAGCTTTTGTAAGCCATCTTCACTATCATAATATGCTTTCGGATTTTTGTGCCGCATTTTCCGCTCTATGAGAAAACACATCCCAGATATCTAAATTGTTGTACTTGTTTGAATTCGGCATCACCAATTGGTAATTTGCATATTGGGCTGTCCTTTTTGCTAACAACTATCTGTTCTCTCTTTATGCAATTGATGTGTAATGTTTGCTTCTCACTTATTTCTGTAGGAGTTCTTGTAGGAATCCTCCTCTCTGTATGAGATTATATAAGAAAAGGCTGTATATTATTACGCGAAATCCAATGAAAAAAAAACAATAAGGATTTTATAAAGGATCACTCAGAATTTATATACACTGGAGGAAAGAAAGACATTAAAAAGGAGCCGGACTAATATTAGATAGACACAGGAGTTCATGCATCTTAGGGTATTGGCTGCTATTAGTGAATTTCAACTGGAACTGAAAGGGGAGCCATTAATTAAATTATTAACGAGATGCGAAGAATATATCAGTTTAAATATTTTAAAAATGAAGATATACATATATCCTTTCGTTTCCCATCTTGCATACTTTTCTATTGTAATTTAGTATTGGAAGCTTAGATATAGCACAAGGCCAAATGTAAGGAGCGCCTAGTGAGGATCAAACTCATTTTTCAGTAGTAATCGATCCATCTAGTCAAGCTTGCTAACAATTACACCACGTAGTGTCCTCGCCTGCGGTTATATATGTGAATAAATCTTTGTGGGTTAGGCACCCACGCCAGGAAAAAGGAATATATAAACATTGCAACATGCCTGAACACATCAAATATTAGTGCAACCCGCGAGATAAGTGTATACATAAAAATAGAAAGAAGAGCACAACAAGTTTGTGTTCTTAGATGGGATTTATAATTTGAACAGAGAATTGAAATAAAGACAAGAAGAAGATAGATCATAATTTATATTATCGGTAGACGGAAACTGCAATAATAAACGCTACGCCTATGTCACTGTGTTGATTCAAATTCAGAAGAAACATTGGCAGAAACTTATTCTACTGTGTAGTTAAAAAGAGCGAAAAAGAAAGGCTTGAAAATAACTATAAGAAGACAAAATACATAGTTGTCAGAAAAAGAGACAGCATAAATTATGATTTGGGGACGTCAAAAATATAGATTTAACTATCTGGAAAATGTAGTAACAGACAGACGGAAATTCGAAGACATATAGTGAATAGCCTATCAGAAAACCTGTAACGTATTAACTCAGTGTTTCTCGATGTTTTTAATCAACGGTACACCTAGGGGCAAATGAAAATATCATTGGACACTTAGACATTTTTAAAGGTTTTGCATTTAAATGTTATGAAATAAAACCGTAGCTTTAAAAACAAAATACACATACAAATATGAACTTACTTTATTTCAATATTTCTATTCACCTGTGTGGAAAATGCTCCTGTTTTATTTTTCCGTGATTTCTTCAATGTTTAGTCTCATTTCTCCTTCAGTTGAGCGTAATAGGGCACCTCAAGGCGGCATAATGGTTTGCAAGCTTGTCTCGCTAGAACAATTACAAGAGAGTAGTAATTTCGATCCTCACTGGGTGCCTTACACTTTTGGTCTTGTGCCACATCTAAGTTACCTTTGGACAATCACTATGTTGATGACAGGGGTACCTCAGGTCGGTGTGAGCAAGCTGGTCTCGCTAGAACAATTACGTGTGAGTAGTGAGTTCGATCCTCACTGGGTACCCCACACTTTCGGCCTTGTGCCACATCTCTTGGAAAATCACTTCATTTGGGTGTAGATTTTCTCGCTACTTTTTCTTTGATGTTATTTCGTGTTGAGAAGCCTAATTCGCATAAATAAGTAGAAATTGCAATAAAACTGATAAAAGATTGTTTAGCTAATGTGGGATATTGCTTTTGTTTTGGGTGTGCGGGTGGTGTAATGGATAACTGTTCTGGATTGAAGATCGGAGAGCCGAGTTCCAATTCCAGTAATCATCTACGCGCGCATACAACCTCTTCTTCCCTGTTATCTATGGCTTAATTAGTATAACTTAACAGCAAAAAATATTTTCTGGCTTTAATAAACTATAAAAGGTTGATAAGCCATAAAACAGATCAACCAATAAAAAAATTAAAAAAAAAACAGTGATATTTTCAAAATGGATGGCGTCGATTTTCGATACCGTGATATAGTCTATTTATGACGCTTTGCTTTACCGAACGATTCATTAACAACTCTCTCTCTCTCTCTCTCCCTCTCTCTCTCTATCTCTCTCATTAAGTCTTATTCTATCTCTCATTCTCTCCCCCATTCTGTTATTCTTTCTCTCACATACTCCTTCTCTCCCTCTTATTCTCTCTCATTCCACTTCTCTTCTCTCTCTCTCTCTCTGTATCTCTTTCTCTTTCTAATTGTTTGACGTATAGGAGTTTTATCTTCTCAATTGTTGTTGATCGATGCTTGGAAACCTCAGTATTCAGGTAACCCCAGCTAAAAGAATCATATCCGGAGAGAGAACAGACGAATGCTTGGACCATCCAGGCATACTGCGTAAGGAGATCCAATGTTCTGAAAATACTTCCTTCAAAGCCTCTATCGATTTCCGCACTGTGTGTACGATGGCTCCAGCCTATTGAAACCATACATCCGTTTTACGATGTTTTTTGAGTTTTGGTTCCGGAAGAGTTCACAGCAATTGAAACTTACTTAAACCGATCGACATTCCACATCAAAATTAAGGGCCACAACCACAAACATTTGCAAGAGTACATTACATCCTAACTGTGCAAGGCCGGTGCATACTACCTCTCATCATACGTGAGAGGCAAGCCAGATTGGGGGACCTGGGCAGTGATTTTGTGACCATTTCAATGTTATCAACATTTAATTTTTTTCTACCTACATTTATATACGTTACAAATTAGACAAAGTGCATCTTATTATTAAAGGATGAAAAATATTCGCGAATTTTGACGTCATTCTAGGGTCTTTTCATAGTCCAAATCCGTGAATTTGTTTTGCTCATGCTAAGATTCGAAATAAAATACAGTATTTCCCCATGTATAATACGCATTTTTTCTACAATATAAGAAGCAAAATCAGGAGTGCGCATTATGCAAAGCTACAAAAAATCTTTTAAATTTGCAGTAAAGTAAAATAAAAATTATCATCGTCTACAGTCACTCTCTCACAGACGCGCCGTCGCCTCTCTCTGTCTTTTCTACAAATACTTCCATGGTAATTGCTCTGATGAGCTGCTTTCATTGGTCCCCAGACTCCATGAATTCAAGCGCCCTACGAGGCTGGCATCCCGCTCTCACCCTTACACTGTAGAAACTTTTAAATGTAGCCGTCTCTCCAACTCCAATAGCTTCATACCTCGCACCTCTCGCCTGTGGAACACCCTTCCCAATTACTGTTTCTCTGAGTGCTATAATCTCCAACTATTCAAATGTAATGTCAATCAACATCTCCAGTTACCTTGATCTACTCACTATCCTTCTCCTCATCCTTTCTTCTATCACTCTTATCTGCTCTCGCTCCAAATCTTCCGCAACCCCCTGCATCCTAGTGGCTTCACGCCTTGCTCGGGGCGTAATGATTAAAAAAAATAAAAAAAATAAAAAAAGAACTAAATTAGAATAATATCAGTCTATGTTTAAAACCATTTTTTAAAAGAAGAGTACGAAACACTGGCCGTAATGAAATTGGAGAGGTACAATTTATAGGGTTTGATTACCAAACAAGGGGTGCGTATTATACATGAGTAGAAGCATTTTCCCACACTTTCAGCACAATTTTAGGTGTGCATATTATGGGTGAAGGCGTATTATACATGGAGAATTATGGTACTATATAAAATTCACTATCTTTTCTTATCCATAATGTTGAATATTTTTACCAAGGAAAACCTTTGAAGTTAAAGTTAATAGTTGCCGCAAAACCTGTCTCTAATTATTTAAGATGGAATGATCTATTCTGACATGTCTATGATTTGTATTGCGGTTCATTGCAATTATTTTCTGTTTTTCTCGTTCTTTTGTTCATCTATATTGTTTATGGTCCATTATTGTACATAATGAGGATGACAATAAAATCTGTAGTTTATATGAATATCACCTTATGAAAATTCAGATGTAGTCGAATCATAGATCGGTGGGAAAAACACGAGACACTTCCATCCGCGCTTGTCTGTGTCTGAGGTCTTCAGGGAAATTGTTTGAGGTTGTTTGCCGCTCAGTAGCGAAAGTTTTCTTTATTGACGCAATTAGACATATGAAAGTAAGCTTCGTTACTTGTAAAGATGCAATCTTTTGCTTGAAAATTCTAAAGGATTTAACAACATATTGAAAACATAGCGAAAATATTAGCCAAATGTAGACATCATCATTACCACCTGCCTAGCTTCACCAAATTCCAAATGGGAATTGCAGGTGATGTAAGCTTAGATGTGCATGTGGTGTAATGTATAATGGCCTGAAATTGTTAATCGAAAAACCGAGTTCCAATTCCAGTTTCTTTCATTATATTCCCTTACTCGCAAATATCCTTGTATGAATCCACATATCCTGTTTCCAGCTATGGAATAATTAGTAAGACGCATATTCTAAAATTCTTACAAACTAAAAATATTTCCTGGCTTTAAATAACCCGAAAAAAACTTGATAAGCTGTAGAAAACAAATAAATCAATCAGTATACTCTGCTTTCATCAGACGAGTAAGGTAACTTCTTTCGGTGCTATCGTCGTCACGCACCTTACGTACTACGACAGTATATCAACACGACCAACCTGAGCCATCGAGCGTGACGGACCGGGCAAATAAGGCGGATAGAAGAGGTGTATTCAGACTCCCTGTGTTCGGCGCGTATGTTATGCGAAAATGACAGCATGTCCATGAAACTTTACATTCCTTTCGCCGGCGCGCACATCACGTCGGAGGCTTCTCTAAGCGACGAACATCGCATCCTTTTCGATATTGATTCGAATCGTTGCATATTTGTACAGAGATTTCGGTTGCTTAGCCGACCGAACATGTTCAGTCGGTAAATTCAACTACACTTGGAAAAAAGAAAAAAAAGGGAAAAAAAAGAACAAAACTATACATTTACAGTCGAGCTCGCAGCGCCCATATCGATAGCCCCCACCCCAAGGGTTGTAGTGTCAACTGTGTTGAAGACCTCCCTTGTTTGTGCAATCGGTTTATGTTTTTCTCTCTCTCCCCCTCTCTCCCTATCTCATATCTCGCTCTCTTCTCCCCCCTCTCTTTCTTCAACGACGACCCGTTCGAGGACGCCGCCGTCGCGTGCGGAACGACAACAGCCGAAGGAAAAGCAACGACGAGCGCCACCGACCCCAGCAACCGTTGTCACTCCAAGCGACGACGACGCCAATTATGGCATTGTCTAGCAGGGCAGAAAGACACACCTTTCGCAATACAACAAAACGTGCATAAAACATTGCCGTTATGCTGTCGGCCCGGCCGTCCCTCGATCTGGACGAATCGGGTTGGTCGAGGGTTTAGTCTCAATAGTTCGCAGTCTCGTTGCTGCTCCCCTTAGTAAGGAAGAACACCACCCGGAAACTTCATTTAAAATTCCGGCCTCAAACAATTAACATTTTGTTGTACGAAGCTAAATCTTTTATCTGTGTCGTATTATGTAACAATTATATGCCAACCTTTCTAGTGTATTGAATTCTGCCATTAATCCTAACTGGACTTGGGACCTTGTACCTGACTTAAGTAAGTACGATACCCCGAATTTTCAGTTAATTTGTGTCCTCCAAACAATTTTTGTTGTGCGTGTCTATATGTTATAACTATCCGACTATGTAACAATTATAAGCAAGCCTACCTACTGTAGTAAATTTTGTTATTAATGCTATCTAAAAGTGATGACCTTGTACCTAACTTTGTACACTTAGTAAATACATATCTGACCGTAGCATTTTAACTCAATTCCGGAACCAGCAATGAAGTCTCGTGTTCCCGAGATTCGTTCGACAAGAACTCCGTAATTTCTAACCAAGGAAATGACCTTTCCTTGACCTGTTCTCGATTTAATAATCAGAACAATATCTATTCAGCACTTCCTTTCTATGTAGTGCTAACATCCCGGCTCAAGTAGATTCAAAGAAAGACTTTACAAGATGTAAAAGGTGTATTATTGAATTAAAATCTCTGAAATTATCGGTAGTTTGAGTGAAAATCCGATTTTAAAGAAATGGGCTTTATTCATTATTTTCTGTTGTGAATTTATTTGCTACGAGTGCTTTTCGTTAAGGAATTGATTTTACTTTCTATTTTTTCTTTTATTTTAGAACAAAATCTTTGCTTTATGATTCTGTCTTAAAATTTGTATTATTCTTCAAGTGGCAGCGTTTTTTTTTTCTTTTTTTCACGACCTTCAATTTATCTTATTGATGTTTTGTCTTGATTTATTTTTTTATTGATTATTTATTGTTTTTTTATAGTTTTCTCTTTTTCGATTCTTCTTTTCTTACTCTTTCCCTCTCTCTTTTTTCTTATTCATTCTTTCTTTGTCTTTCTACTTCCTCCCTTCTTTCCGTGATTTCTTCTTTTTTTTTTTAATCGGCAATATATTTTCTTTAAAATTTATCTTTCTCCTCTAGTAAGTTCTCCCTCTTTCTGTCTTTCTCTCTCTTTTACTTACTTTTATTCTTTATTTATTTCCTGATTTTAGTCTCTCCTTTCTTCATTTACAATCCTTCCATTAATATTTCTCTTCGAATTATTTTCATTCATTCGTAATTTCTTTCTTCCTTGCATCCTTTCTTGTTTCATTCCTTTTGTTTTTTTTATGCAATTTATTTTCATCGCCAAGACGATCATTTCTTTGTCATATTTCTTCTTTATTAGTTCACTAGCAGCATGGCCCAGTGTTGCCCGTGCTTGATTCAAAAATCGTACGCCTCATACATCAATCGCTATAACTTTAATTAAAATATTTTTGCCCTTCCTTGCCTTTAAAGGAGTGTCCTTTGCCGTGCTGATGTTGCTACATGCCTTACTTATTGCCTATCTCACACTGCGAATTTTTTCTAAGCTCTATACTAAACATTAAATCTGTTACGAAAAAAGAACTAAACAAAGTGAACACAAAACGATCAGCTTTAAAAAAGGACTCGTAACTGGAAAAACCGAATGAATAAAGAATGTTAACAACAAATACTTTTTCACACCCAACCCAGTTCTGCGGAATCAGAATCAACGTTGAGTTTGAGCAAGTGAATGAGCCAATTGGAGTAAAGTGCCATGCAGATTTAAATTTTTTTCACTTGGGACAAATGCAGCTATCGATTTTTTTTGCATGCTAGCATGCTAGTTAACATTCGTGTCAGTCAGCTGTTTGCTCTCACACTGACCAATAGAAACTTCCTGCCTATTCATGGCAGCCAGCTATATGCTCTTACTCTAGCCAGTAGGAAATGGCCGCAAACTACATGAAAACTGCCGTAGAAGCAAGAAAAATCGATTATTTCCACAATCGATGGGAGTTGAGAAATGGAAAGTCGGTTTTGGCCTTTCCGCTAACGTGGAGCATGTGCATGTAAATTTCGGTGCAAATCCAACGAAAATTGCGGCCGTGCATTCGTTACACACACACACACACACACACACACACACACACACACACACACACACACACACACACACACACACAAACTGCCTTTTATAGATAGAGATTCTATTTTTTTACTATCCATTTTTTCATAATTTATTTTTTCGGTCAATAATTGTCTGTCTTTTGTTCTAATCCATTTTCCATAATATATTTTACTTATTCAAAAAATCTTCTTTCTTTCCTTTATTCTCTCTCTTTTTCTTTCTTTCTTTCTAATTTGCTTGCTTGTTTTTGTATTTTACTTTCTTTCTTTACAACCCATTTTTCATAATTTAGTTATCTCATTCAATAATCTACTTTCTTCACTTTCTTTTTTCTTTCTTTCTTACTTTCCTATTCATTTTTTATAATTTATTTTTCATTCAATAATCTTCTTTCTTTCCTTCCTTCTTTCTTTCTTTATTTCTTTCTTTCTTTCCCATGCATTTTTCATAATTTATTTTTCCTTCAATAATCCTCTTTCTTTCTTTCTGTCTTTCTTTCTTTCTTTCTTTCTTTCTTTCCAATTAATTTTTTCATAATTTATTTTTTCATTCACTAATCCTTTTTCTTTCTTTCTTTCTTTCTTTCTTTCTTCCTTTCCAATCCATTTTTCATAATTTAGTTTTTCATTCAATAATCCTCTTTCATTATTTCTTTGTTTATTTCCTTCTTTCTTTCCAATTCATTTTCATAGTTTATTTTTTCATTCAATAATCCTCTTTCTTTCTTTCTTTCTTTCTTTCTAATATATTTTTCATAGAATATTTTTTCATTCAATAGTCCTCTTTCATTATTTTTTGCTTTATTTCTTTCTTTCCAATCGATTTTTTATAATTTATTTTTTCATTCAATAATCCTCTTTCATTATTTCATTCTTTGTTTGTTTCTTTCTTTCTTTCTTACTTTCCCATTCAGTTTTCATAATTTATTTTTCATTCAATAATCGTCTTTCTTTCATTCATTTTTTCTTTCTTTCTTGCTTTCCCATGTATTTTTCATAATTTATTTTTCCGTCAATAATCCTTTCTTTCTTTCTTTCTTTCTTTCTTTCTTTTTTCTCTCTTTCTTTCTTTCTTTCTTTCTAATCTATTTTTCATAGAATATTTTTTTCATTCAATAGTCTTTTCATTATCTCTTTCTTTCTTTCTTTCTTTCTTTCTTTCCAATCGATTTTTTTTAATTTATTTTTTTTCATTAAATAATCCACTTTCATTATTTCTTTCTTTATTTCCTTCTTTGTTTGTTTGTTTCTTTCTTTCTTTCCAATCCATTTTTTCATAATTTATTTTTTTCACTCAATAATCTTTCTTTGTTTCTTTCTCTTGTTCTTTCTGTCTTTCCATTCTATTTATCATATTTTGTTTCTCATTCAATTACCGCCCTTTCCTTTCCTTTCTTTCTTTCTTTCTTTCTTTCTTTCTTTTCAATGCATTTTTTCGTATTTTATTTTTCTCATTAAAATATATTCTATCTTTCTTTTCACTTCTTTAAAGATTTTATTCCTTTCTTAATCTGCAATAAATATTCTTCATAATTTATCTTTCTCACATAATGATGTTTCATTATTTCTTTCTTGATTGCTTACTTTTATTGTTTATTTATTTCCTGATTTAATTCTTTCTTCACTTCATTTCTAATCCATTCGATTCATATTTTATTTTTTTCCACTGAATTATACTCATTCATTTATTCTTAATTTCTTTCTTTCTTGTTTCTCTTCCTTTTATATTTGCAATTTATTTTCATCACCAAAAATATTATTGCTTTCTTCGTTCTTTCTACATAATCTTAGTTCGACTTCTCATTTTGTAAAATATCTCGAATTATGTTCATAATGAACCGATTTCATTCGCCTTGCTCTTCTGGAAATGCCCACACGGAATAATCATCATCCAGCAAATGGAATTATCCTTAAATAGCTGTACCCGTGAAAACTGCACGTGCGTTGGCATCTTAAATTATACACTATCTCATGTCTCTACAACTAACATACAACAAATTCTAGTATGAAATACGCATTCAGACGACGAACATATTTGCTTTTGTAATTCATATGAATCATATTTTCTTAAGTTCGGAACATTTAAGGCTTATTCAGAAGCATGCGAATATTGCGTTATTTCACGAGAATTAAGAGCTGAGTAAACTTCGCTTCTAATATTTTTATAATATTACGCAAATGCATATGTGTAGTCTTTTCTCAACACATCAGTCTCTCTCTCTCTCCATCTCTCTCTCTCTCTCTCTCTCTCTCTCTCTCTCTATATATATATATATATATATATATATATATATATATATATGCAAGCAAATATATGGATATAGATCCGACAGTATGAAGAAAAATATACGGAAAAAACAAACAAAAATCCTTATATACAGTTATGCTGTTTTAATGTTAATATATCAACGTCTTTGTCATGTTGAATTGATAATGTTAATTATATTTTATGAATATGTCCTGAAGATGGTTTATTAGACCGAAACATCCGACGTTGACATATTAACATTAAAACAGCATAATTGTATATAAGGATTTTTGTTTTTTTCATATTTTTCTTCATATATATATATATATATATATATATATATATATAAGCATTCGACTCCAAGCAAGCCGGGAAGCCACTAGCACGCAAAGGGTTTCAGAGTAGGAGCGAGAACAAAGAGGAGTGATAGAGGAAAGGATGAAGAGACGGTTAGGGGAGAGATCAGGGCATCTGGAGACGTCGATTGACGTTACATTTGAATAGTTGGAGATTATAGCTATCAGGGAGTTCCACAGTCGAGAAGTGCGGGACATGAAGCTATTGGAGTAGAAGAGACGGCGGCATTATACAGTTTCGATAGTGAAAGGGTGAGATCAACATGCCAGCCTAGCTGAGCGCTTAAATTCACAGTCTGGGAACCAGCGAAAACAGCTCATCGGAGCAGTTACCGTGAAAATATTTGTAAAAATGACAAAGGGAGGCAACGGCACGTCTGTGAGAGAGCGGCTGCAGACGAGATGCCAGATCAGGGCCAATTACATTGCATATCTGTCTTTGGATTTTATCAAGGACCTTGAGACAATTAGAAGGGGCACCAGACCATATATGGCAGCAATACTCCATGCAAGGGCGGATGGTTGATTTGTAGATTTGAAGGATCAACTCCGGTGAGAAAAAATTCCTGGCGCGACACAGGGAGTCAACTTTCCTAGCGATGCACGAAGCTATTGACTCAATGTATTCGTTCCATCTATGGTCAGCGGACACTGTGAGACCGAGCAGTAGCAAAGAGGTGCTCTCGTGAAGTTGAGCGTCAGACATTCTAATGGGAGGCAAGGATGGTTCTCTCTGGTGAGTAATAGAGAGCAGTTTTGTTTTTGAGGCATTAAAGTTAACCAGCCAATACCTGCATACATACATACGTACATACATACACACATATATATATATATATATATATATATATATATATATGTGTGTGTGTGTGTGCGTGTGTGTGTGCGTGTGTGTGTGTTTGCGTGAAACAGACATTCGTTAATAACGGTTTTCCGAACTAACTCATAGATAACTAAATTAGATTATTTCTTTCTAAAGTAATCAACAGTAATACTGAATATACAAAAAAAAAAAAAAACATCAATATTTTCTATAAGCATAAAATAAACGTCAATTATAAGCAGGACTAATTTTCCCTTAGAAATATTCTAAAGAAATAGACAACCCAATACAACCAGAACGAGACAATTACATTAATTAACTATTGTAAACAAGGCAACTTTAGGCAACGGAAATATGATTCTATAGAAGGATGCTGGGGATACACTGGACTAAGCCCCTGAGAAACGACGGAGTTTTAGAGAAAATAGAAAAAAAAAACTTATAAATAACATCAAGAAGCGACAATAAATATTTCTAAGGCACATCATGAAGAAGGAGTGCTTGGAAAATCTGATACTCACAAGACCGATTGAAGACACAAAGGACAGAAGAAATCAGCGCATTACATAGCGATCTTGAATAAACGGATAGTAGAACAAGGTTTAGGAAAAATAACAAAAATATCAAATTTATTAAGAACTACAAAAAACGGAATATTGTGGAGATTCGTTATCGCCTACATCCTGAGGAGACATGGTATATAAAGGAAAAGAAGCTTACCATCAAGTGTAACACCTCACCTCCAAATTACAGAGAACCAATATTATTTATGAACTTACATGCCACTTTCTTTTGATGATCAAAAGAAATTCATAAATAATTATATTGGGCATACCACTACATGCCTATCAAGAAGACTCACGTTACATCTCTCAGATCATAACTCAGTTAGGAACCATTTTGCCATACGTGGAAACCTGTCAAACTCTATCCTCAACATACTTCTGTAATATACGACTATCACTGTCTCATCTACTTGCAAAAAACAGTTAAAATAATGGAAGGTTTAATAAGGTTTAATAATAAAAAAAGAAAACTGTAACACTCAGTAATATCAAATTTGAACACGGCCACAATGTGCTAACCGTGTTTAGGAAATAATTAAGCGTTCCCGTAGCTATGAAAACTGGAAGCACCATCCAAATATATATATATATATATATAATGTCATCCACAGATAGACTGTTTCGCTGTTTACAGCTCATCAGTGCGGCTAGACATCCGGTTGCCTCTAGCTAGGATTGAATTGGTGTCAGTCGGAGCTTCTAACCACTAAGCCGTCGGCGCACGGTAGGAATGAAGGTGGATTTTTAGCGTATTTATTTTTTTTAAACTTGCCCAGTGACTGACAGTGACTCAATTCGCTTACGCGAAGAGTCTCGCTATATTAGCTATAATAGTCACTGTTTACCAACCCACACCTCTTTCCCAGAGTGCTCAACTGAAATCAAATTCAGGAGCAAAAATATATATATATATATATATATATATATATATATATATATATAGTCGCACGCTAAAACGTAGGTAGGCGTATATGTAGTAATTAATAGATAACTTTGTTCTTCATAACTGATTGAGTACTATTACGTTTACACCTCATTTGCTTGCCTGGGTATGCATACCAGCACATGCGCACACGCCTGCTTATATTTGGCCGTTTCATTTATCCATTCTACAACGATACACATACATAAAAATCTACATACGACGAAATGTTCAGAGGCTGACCAAGATACTCAAATGTAATGTCACCAAATGATATTTATTTTTCAACATTGTCCATCTTGCAGATCAAACGCTTTTTTTCCGTCTGTGTTGCAGTGCTTGTGTACCATTGGTTTGAAGATGCTTTCAATCTGTGAGTGTAAAAAGATCACCAACAGCAGATATGACGTTATCATCACTGCGATACTGATTCACAGCCAGATGAAGTCGAATCAGGAGAATAAGGAGGGTGATTAATCAGTTCAAAGCCACAATTACTCACATAAGCCATTGAAACCAAAAGCTTGCGCGCTGGAGCATTGTCTTGTGAAACAAGCCCCCTTCCTTTTCATTTCCTTGGCCTGGTTTGGCCTTAATAGCCTTTCAGTGGCCATTTTGACGATAAACACTATTTTGACGATAAACACTATTCACTTAGCATTCCCCAAAACAGATGTCATAACCTTCTCAGCAGATGAAACGATCTTAGCCATCTTTGGAGTAGGGGAGGGAAGGGTGTTACCATTTTACGAATTATCTGGCGGAACATGATAATCACAACACTAATCCTGTGTTAGTTAACGTTGAAGGAAACCAGCAGTATCTAATTCAAAAAAGGTCAAATTTACACATAATGTGATCAGCTTGGTGCACCTTTGATTAGAAGACGTGGCACCCAACGAGCAGAAATCTTCGTCATGCCAATAGAATTGTGCAGCTTATTCTCCACTCTCATGGCATATTCTAAGAGCATTTGCTATTTCATTTATAGTCAATCGCTTTTCATTTTACTCATATGTTTAAAACGAACAAAACATTCCTTAATGGTGGAGGTTGCAGGATGTCCAGACATTGGGTCAGATTTAAGACCATCTTAAATTCAGGTGCCCAATTTTGTACTGTTGGTAAATCTGGAGCGTCATCCTCTATTGTAGCAACCATATCGCCATAAATATCCTTTGGGCTAAGCCCTTTTCTGCACAATGCCAAATTTAGTCCATTTTTAAGAGAAGTCGATGTTAGTTACTTTTGAAGACTTCTTTGAACAGTCCAATGCCAGTTTACCTGGAACAGACTCATGCAGTTATTAATAAGAAGAGTTGAACATTTAGTTTACCTGAGAAGAAAAAATACAGTTATTAATAA